ATATGTAAATTTTGAAATTATGAATACTGATCTATTTATTCATTAACACACTGATAAAATATCAATAATAAAATACCAATATCCCTAACTTATTTTGTCCAGTATACTTCCTTTAGAAAAAGCTGACTAGTTTCTCCTCTCAACAGTTTGGTTGAAAACATAAAGTCAGACTTTCGGGAATTTTTTTTGTCCACGCAACATTTATTATACAACCTTAGAGAGATCATTTGTGCTTCCTAACAGCTCACTGGTTAACAGGAATGAATTTTTATGGATAGACAACTTCTTGATTGCAATGGATGTGATGTTTCAGTGTAGATGCTGACACCATTATCAAGCAAATGATGTCGCATCCATTGCATTAACGAAGTGCCATTAAATTTGTTCCTGCCCATCATACCATCTTCTGTATCCCACTCAAAGACCTTTGCTGGTTGTTATGGAAGATTTCTGTTTTAACTGGTGTACACATCGCCCAAACCAAATTTCATTTATGTACAATATGATATACCTGGTATATTTTCTAAAAAGGTTTTCATAACTTGCCAAGGGTTTAAAAAAAGTTGGAAATATATATTTCCAAAGTATAATAATGTTGAAAGGGAAGTAACTTTGTAACATGTCCGGCAAAGAAATACAAATTACATCTTTCATTTTATTTTTTTCACATGTTGTTTTTAGAAATATATTCCAATTTCTTCCATGTTACAATAATTGTATATCTTTCATAAAGGGCTCATAATGTGTATCTCTGGTTGTCTGTGCAATTATGTTGTGTATTCAGAGGTGTTTGTATATCTATCACCAACTCACCTAAGGTGCTATGTAGAGGTAGGGTTCTCAGCTGTATATAATATGGAATAAACTATTTTATAGCATGGCTGGTGTTCATTACTCCACCCCTACGGAACAACAATTACAACCAAGTCTGACAACTACAACTACTACCACTACTGCTGCAGCTACAATTGCTACACATATTACAACAACTACAACTAAAACTTCAACTACTACAGCCACTACTACAGCTACAACTCCTCGTCCTCCTACTGCTACTACTAAGACTGACTGCTACTATTATTACTACTACTACTTATATAGAGATGCCAACCACTCTGATTTGGATGGAGTTACTCCGAATTTCAAATACAAAATCTGCACTCTGATTTCTCTTTCCAAAACTCCGATATTTAATGGAAAAATTCTGAATTTATTTTAACGGTATACAAATTCGAATGTCATCGGTGATTTATTTGAGTGAACTCTGGTAAAAGCATTCAGAAGCTTAGCGTGTGATCCTTTGTGTGTTGATTGTGTATATTGGGTGTTATTGCCTATGAAGTTTCACAAAGTTTCGCATGACATAGTCCGTATGAAAGTGAAACAAAATGGCAGAGCCGACCACGTGCTCACCCCAAACTCACACCTTTGGTGCTCAGGCCTGGATTTCAGCCAGTCATGATCCGTTTTCCTTAGATTCAGGGTTGGCATCTCTGCTTATAACTACATCAGCTTCCACTTCAGCCAACTGCAACATTAATTCTATTGCTGCTACTATTACCACTACAGTTAGGATTAATTCTACTACTTTCACTGCTACTACAACCAAATGCATGTTCATAGTGTTTACATTGATTACACAGAAAGCAACAAAAATTTGTTATGCGGAGTTGCGTCCCTTTTGCATGCCACGATTCTATGATCAGGTGTTGCATCAAAATTTACCGACGTTTTGACAGATCTTTGGTTTCTCAGCCATAAACCGTGTCCAGTTGGTATCGTTTTCTTATCTTTTCAATCTAAAAGATTTGACAGAAATAGTAAGGGCGGTGGGGTAGCCCAGTGGTTAAACATGTTAAAGCGTTCGCTTGTCGATTCCCCACATGGTTACAATGTGGTGATCAGGCTTGCTGACTTGGTTGACACATGTCATCGGTTCCCAGCTGCGTAGATTGATGCTCATACTATTGATCATTTGATTGTCTGGTCCAGACTCGATTATTTACAGACCGCTGCCATATAGCTGGGATATTGCTGAGTGCGGCATAACTCACTCTCTACAATGACATTATCTGGTTTAAATAAAGATGGTACAGATTTGGCAAATGACGCCATTTCATGCAAAAACATTACATATTTCACTTTTCTAGCACAGACTTATTGTGTCAATTCATTGAAAGTCTGGACGGATGAGTTTCATTGCCGAACACAATGGCCTGAAATAACCCACAGGGACACAGTGGGATTGAGAATCCTATCTTAAAACAAAACTGGCATTCATCTTTGTATGAAAGTTCAAAATATGACTGTTATCGTGAGTTTACATCTTAACTTGAACCTGAGTTGTATGTATACAACTTAAGTAATAAAAACCTTCTGATGTTTTCATACATCTGAGATTTGGTCTAAATGATTTATCTGTCAAAATAAGGAAGATATTCATCTATTGTAAAATCACAAAGGTTCTGTCCATTTTGACTATAGAGAATGAATTACACTTTAAATTTCTTTGTCCTATATACACATGTATAATGATTTAAGGCAAATGTATTTCCACAATGGCTACTATGAAATATAATTGCTACAAAACTGTATTCAATACTTTCCTGCATAGCATCCCTATTATAATATAAGGTAGCTCTATTAATCTATCATGCGCTTGTATTGAGAAGAGATTCAATGTAACATGTTTGTCTTTGACTGAAATGGGATGGTCTTGTGGCTGGAGGAGGGCTATCAAAATATGGGACAGCAGCCCTCTCAATGATCTCCCATGGATACCGAGGCCTATTAAGGTTACCATGAAATGGTAATGAGGTCCATCTTGCAACCCAAGCAAATGTATCCCCATACCATAATTGACCGTCTCCAGGCAACCATAGGTGTGTTTTCCTTTGTCTCCAGACATGTGTACGACCATCCATCATATGCAATAAGAAACGCCAATCATTGGAAAAGCGAACCCTCCGCAACGATGCAATGTTCCAGCGAACATGTGGATTACATCAGGCAATTCGTGGTAGCCCTGTGTTTGTTCAAGAGTCTTGAAATGGTGGAAGGATTGCGTCCAATGTGATGTCCACTGCTGCAATATCAAAGCAGGAGACCCCAGAAATGGGCTTTACACATTGTACACCTGTGGGGAGTCGAACCTGGGTCTTCGGCATGACGAGTGACTGCTTTGACCACAAGGCTACACCATTGCTCCTTTTTGCTGGAAGCAAACGTCATGTATCCCATCACAACGTCTGACCCCATACAGCAAGACTGACAAAGTCCTTTTTGAGAAACCACAACATCTATGTACTGGAATGGCCCTCAAGGTCTCCAGATCTTACTCCCATTGAACATTTATGGAATGCACTCGATCAAGGTATACTATCACGTCAGCACGTCAGTGACAATGACTTGTGTCAAATTTGAACAATTAATTATGATCTGTTGATTATATATAATACACAAAGGATATATCTGAAAACAACTTTTGCGTTTCTTTTCATATATATTTGGAGAGGATATGATTTCAGTTTTAAATTTTCAGTCATTGTTGGGAAACAAGAACAAAAGAACCTGTGTTCCTCTTTTGTGACGTAAAAATTCAAGAACAATCGAAGTGTGTTGTCTGCTGGACGAAGGAAGCCATTCATGAGTCACCTGCTCAAAGCGGGAAGCCTGTTTAAAGCAGGCGGCTGAAGTGTGTCGTCTGTTTGCCTCTGGAAGCCTGTTTAAAGCAGGCGGCTGAAGTGTGTCGTCTGTTTGCCTCTGGAAGGCTGTTTAAAGCAGGCAGCTGAAGTGTGTCGTCTGTTTGCCTCTGGAAGTCTGTTTAAAGCAGGCAGCTGAAGTGTGTTGTCTGTATGCCTCTGGAAGTCTGTTTAAAGCAGGTGGCTGAAGTGTGTCGTATGCTTGAACAAGGAAGCCATTCCTGTGTCGTCTGCTCGAAACCTGTTTGAAGCAGCCATCAGATGTGTGTCGTCTGCTTCATTCTAGAAGCCTGTTTAAAGCAGGCGGCTGAAGTGTGTCATCAATTGGAAGAAGGAAGCCATTCGTGTGTCGTCTGCTGGAAGCCTGTTTGAAGCAGGCAGCTGAAGTGTGTCGTCTGCTGGAAGCCTGTTTGAAGCAGGCAGCTGAAGTGTGGCATCTGCTTGAAGAAGGAATCCATTCATGTGTCGTCCCCTTGATGTTTGAAGCAAGCGGTTTGTATAGTGTCATCTGCTTGAGAAGTTTGAAGTTTCCTGCTACGCAAAAATCATGTCATTTTGTCATCTCATTGCTGATTGACTCAACATCAACACGAAAATAGGTTCATTCACATATATTTCAAAGACCTGTTATGTGTTTCTACACATACAACAATGTCAACATTACACACACTGCCAGCCGTCTCACATGAGGTAGTTTATCTTTCTTAAAACATGGATTATATACTCCCCATCAAAAATTTAGACTCACTACTGTAAATGTAGCCACTTACTTCAGTCAACTGTTCTGAACTAGATTTTGTAAAATAATCCATACACTTTAAAGGTATTGTTTATACATGAGCTGATGTATTGTAAAACAAATTCGTGACGTTGAAAAGTTTGTCATGTGTTCAATAATGATGAAACTCGGTGAAAAATGGTGATTTTTTATCAAAACTTTACACCAAAACGCGGCTGTTCTCAAGCACGATATTTACACATGCTTTTCAGCAACTTGATGCATGATCCTTGTGCAATTAATCTGCATAAGGTTTGCAGACGTTTCACCCAAGTTAGTGGAGAAATTCATCTTCGTTGTAACCATATGTACATACATAACTTATAGTGATTGAATTAAGCGAGTCTAAACTTTTGATGGGTAGTATAGTTGAAGACAACAGCTTGTTTATACTGACATGCTTGGGGCAGTGGAATAGACTAGTCTGACTGACTGAGTTTGGTTTTACGCCGCTTTTAGCAATATTCCAGCAACATCACGGCGGGGGACACCAGAAATGGGCTTCACACATTGTACCCATGTGGGGATTCAAACCCGGGTCTTCGGAGTGACGAGCCAATGCTTTAACCATTAGGCTACCCCACTGCCCCTTATAGACTAGTGATTAAAGCCTTTCTCATCCTAACAAAGGTTGGTGTTTCATTCCCCGCCTTATCCTGCCATGTGGGACACTGTATACACAGTATACTGATAATACTGTCTAAGGTCATGAAGCAGATCAAGTGATATCTCCTCCAATAAAACTGCATACAATGCTTTTTCAACTATTATGACATCATTGGTTAACATACATTATAATCAAATGACATCACAATCTTTTTGCCACTGAAGCTGCTACTGTTTATGCACAAAATGTGTTTATTTAGGAGATAAACTTCATGTGTTCGCCAATATCTGGGTGTTATTGAGTATTTGAAGCACAGGAATTCACCATCAAATGGTAGGTTCAAAACATGTCAATGTTTGCTTCATCAATAAATAAAAAACAACAGTGCATGTCAACAGAGCAACCTGACAAACATGAGAGCTGGCAAACGTAAAGAATTTTCAGGATTGTATCTTCTTTTTATTCTTTGATACAAATTGCATCTTCTAAAATGCCAATCAAGCATCTAAGGGACCCTCGCCGCCTGAAATTTATTTCATTCATCATGTAAAGGAATAAATTTGTTTATTCTAGCACAAGTCTCAACTGATGACATTATGCTCACAACATCGATCACTGAATTGTCTGGTTTTGACTGGATTATTTACATGCCACAATCATAGGACTGGAATATTGTTGAGAAAACAAAATCCATTGAACAAGAAACAAATAACTTAGCCTATCTCCAGTAAACATGGCTTTATATCATGCCTGAGAATACTGCTTTAACCTTAAACAACATGAAGTATGCTTTACCCTTTAACAACATGAAGTATGCTTTACCTCTTAACATCATGAAGTATGCTTTACCCCTTATCAACATGAAGTTTACTTTACCCTTAAACAACATGAAGTACCCTTTACCCTTTAACAACATGAAGTATGCTTTTCCTTTTACATTATGAAGTATGTTTTATCCTTAAACAACATGAAGTATGCTTTACCCTTTAACAACATGAAGTATGCTTTACCTTTTAACATTATGAAATATGCTTTACTCTTTAACATTATGAAATATGCTTTACCCTTAAACAACATGAAGTATGCTAACCCTTAAACATCATGAGATATGCTTTACTCTTTAACATTATGAAATATGCTTTACCCTTAAACAACATGAAGTATGCTAACCCTTAAACATCATGAAGTATGCTTTACTCTTTAACATTATGAAATATGCTTTACCCTTAAACAACATGAAGTATGCTAACCCTTAAACAACAAAGTATGGTTTACCCTTAAACTACATTAAGCATACTTTACCTTTTAACATCATGAAGTATGCTTTACACTTTAACATTATGAAATATGCTTTACCCTTAAACAACATGAAGTATACTTTACCCTTTAACAACATGAAGCATGTTTCACCCTTAAACAACACCAAGTATGCTTTACGCTTAACATGTTAAACAACATGAAGTATGTTTTGCCCTTAAACACCATTAAGTATGCTTCACCCCTTAACAACACCATGATGCTTTATGCTTTAACATGTTAAACAACATGAAGTATGTTTTACCTTTAAACATCATGAAGTATGCTTCACCCTTTAACAACACCATGATGCTTGTATGTCTGTGACCCTTCAACTACTGACATTCCTCTGTCATATCCTGTGGTTCCTGCTTTACTTTAACCTGGTACACATCTACAATACACCTCTCCTGTTGGGTGTTCTCAGGACAAGTCTCTTCCATCTTGTGTTCGCAATGATGCATTTCTCTCTCAAACTCTACTCTTGCACGAGCTCTTCTTTCTTCACACGTGCCAACAATGTCTTCTGATATGCCATTACCTTCTTTGTCACGCTCTTCCTGTCTTATTGCCTTTTCAATATTTTCAGAAATATTCATATGAGTCATATTTTCTTCATCCTCTGAGTCTCCAATTCGATTCTCATTCTCTCTATTGAGTCCGCTACGATTAATGGTCTTTTCAGCCATTTTGACACACAACTCACTCTGTTTGCTGATCTGATCTCGGTGTACCCTCATGTGGGCATTGAGGTTCCCTGAGGTCGTGCATCCTCTGTCGCAGAACTGACATCGGTACGGTCTTTCTCCAGTGTGGGTTCGGATATGAACCCTTAGTGACGACGCTTCTGCGAAGCACTTGGCACAGATGTCGCACATATAAAGTCTCTCATTGGAATGACAGATAAGGTGGCGTTTTAGTGTGCTTGATCTGGCAAACCCTCTAAAACACTGGTCACATTTAAATGGCCTCTCACCTGTATGCACACGAATATGTTCTTGAACCAGCACAAAATGTGCAAAGGTTTTTTGACAATGTGCACACTGATATTTGCGGTCACCTCCTATGTTAGTCCAATGTTCTGAAGGCTCATGATATTTTTTCGGGCGCCCTATCTTGTGACGGTCTTCAATTCCTCCTGTTTCTTTTAGACGTGTTGCAAACCTACAAATAACTGAGGTTGCAACATTCATGATTCTGGAGATCTGTCTTCGAGATGTACCATCTTGAAGAAGTGACCTGATTTTCTCTCTTTTTTCCATTGACAGTTTCCTCAAACGCTTTTTCTCAGTCGGCTTTTCAGTTTCTGGACTTGGTATTTCATCACTGTACATTTTCCTTTCTTGACAAGACACAGGCTTTATAGTTTTATGCCTTGGCATTCTCGTTGGTTTATGGTAGCACTCTGTGGATTGTTGTCTAATCACTGGTATGTATTATTTGATTTCATGACACTTGTCTTGTGCTTCACCATCAGGTCTTCATTATCTGCAAAAGACAGAAATGATGTCATAAACATTGTGTGGGGCGGTGGCGTAGCCTACTAGTTAAAAGGACTTCACACTTTTTACCCACCTGGGGAATCGAACCAGGGCATTCGGTGTGACGAGCAAACACCATAACCACTAGGCTACCACATAACCCCTCTGGATAAATGAACATCCAGATATCTGTACTATATCTGTACCACATACAAACTGTTTTTATCGGCAGATGAAATCGAATTTTGCTGAGCCTTCAAGCCCCCAACCGCCATGTTTGTATAATGTATGGGACGATGCGGGCGAAGAGCTCGTATCATACTAGACTACTAGTAGACTACTAGATCTCGAAGTGCTCTGTTACCTCTCAGTCCTCTATGACATCCGTCGGGCCTGATTTAAACTAACACGTATTGCAGTAGTATTTCGTTCACTAAGAATTACATTTACTTACGAAAGCATTAAATAAATCGTTCTTTTGGGGTATAATGACCGTATACCACACAGAATATTCACCTGTCTGCAAATTCTATTTGTTTGGGCATAAGTTCGAAGGGAGGTCATCCAGAGTTGTTCAGTATTGTTGGTTACCACTAAAACATATCGTTTACGTACGCTTCGATCATTCCTCAAGATTTCATAAGTTCGTGCTGCAATTTTTTCACTTACTTTTTCACTGTAAACAAAAACCCGGTTAGACTGACATTTAGCATATTTTTCTTATTCAATACTATATCACTGAAGAACACCGGACTGTCCTTCCCTGGGCTCTGTTTCACAAAGTTCTCGTAGCGCTACGATGGCCTAGTGGTTAAAGCGTTGGCTCGTCACGCCGAAGGCCCGGGTTCGATTCCCCACATGGGCACAATGTGAGAGGCCCATTTTCTGGTGTCCCACGCCGTGATATTGCTGGAATATTGTTAAAAGCGGTGTAAAACTAAACTCAGTCATTCAGTCCTCCATCATTATCTTTATTTCCTCCAAGTGTGGAGATTACAATTAAATGCAAACATGAATATGTACATATTTTATGTATATAGTGATAGAGTGTGAGTGAGTGTAGAGTTTTATGCCGCACTCACCTATATGGCGGCGGCGTGTAAATGATCAAGTCTGGACCAGACAAGCCAGTGACCAACAGCATGAGCATCGATCTGCGCATGTGTCAGCGAGCCCGACCACCCGACCCCGTTAGTCGCCTCTTACGACAAGCAGTATATATTAATAGATCAGTTCATGTGGTTATAGGGAAAGTTATGTGTCATAGAAGAAACAGTCTTTGACGAGGAAGACGTCACATGAGGTCTGATGTACTGGATCACAGCGTGTTGTACACAGAGGCGGAGGCCATAAGGAAGCTAGATGTGAGCTTCAAGAACTCACTACCACAGGATGAGTCTAGGTGGCACATCACTATGACAACTTACATCTGAGTACTTTTGAAAGTCAGTTGTACTTAAAATTGTTGTTGGGGCGGTGGGGTAGCCTAGTGGTTAAAGCGTTGGCTCGTCACGCCGAAGACCCGGGTTCGATTCCCCACATGGGCACAATGTGTTAAGCCCATTTCTGGTGTCCCCCGCCGTGATATTGCTGGAATATTGCTAAAAGCGGCGTAAAACTAAACTCAGTCAGTCAGTCAGTAAAATTGTTGTTATGCAAGTAGCTTTAATCAAGCAACTTGGGGTCTTCTGCTACTGAAAAATGAAGGATAAAGCATCAATATTTTAAGAAACGCCAAATATTGTAATGTTCCGGTCGGAAATATCAAATGGGGTTATCGTCATTTACTTGTTAAAATACACACGCATGCACGCACACACAGAATACACACTTCCTATAGGTGTGTGGGGGCAATGTTGTTTTGAAATGCAGGAAGACAACTAACCAGCAGTTCAACTGTATCATTCAACCCAATGCTCCTGACAGCGCTGATACCGTAGTTCCTGTCATAAACGCTCGGGCGCTGATTTTTCTCAACAGACTTCCAGGCCGGCGCTTATTTGAGGCCCGGCGCTTTTGCGTCAACTGGGTCAAATAACCGTAATTGTTAGTGAGCTGCTTTACCCCCGGTGCTTATTACATTCCGGTGCTTATTAGAGGAAATACGGTATATACAGCTGCATCACACTTCTACTGGGTGATGTCCAACAGATATAGATTGTTTTTGATAAGTATAAGAATGACAGCATCAAAGGTCAGTCCTGTTCAAAGATGGGGAAGGCCAAGGTCATCTGTGCCATGTGAAAGCAGATGTAACTCTTCAGAACTTGAAACGTTTCTTTGCTAAGGGTAAAAACACATTCAACTTGTCACAGCACTACAGTGAGTGTATGATAAGACGGGTACCAGGGCTACTAAAGAAGGGGCAGAAGTTATGTGTTAGTGGCGACCAGGATGTAATATCTATATATGTTATCTTCCACGTAATCGTTAAACTTGTCACAGCACTACAGTGAGTGTATGATAAGACGGGTACCAGGGCTGTTAAAGAAAAGGCAGAAGTTATGTGTTAGTGGCGACCAGGATGTAATATCTATATATGTTATCTTCCACGTAATCGTTAAACTTGTCACAGCACTACAGTGAGTGTATGATAAGACGGGTACCAGGGCTACTAAAGAAAAGGCAGAAGTTATGTGTTAGTGGCGACCAGGATGTAATATCTATATATGTTATCTTCCACGTAATCGTTAAACTTGTCACAGCACTACAGTGAGTGTATGATAAGACGGGATCCAGGGTTACTAAAGAAAGGGCAGAAGTTATGTGTTATTGGCGACCAGGAGGTAATATCTATATATGTTATCTTCCACGTAATCGTTAAACTTGTCACAGCACTACAGTGAGTGTATGATAAGACGGGTACAAGGGTTACTAAATGTGACGAAACCCTGCATCAAGTTGACTTCAATACAATTTATGTAGTCCATGTGTGCTTGTCACGGACATATCATGTCAAGTATTAAAGTCAACTTTTCATTGTAACCTAAATCTTGTATTATGCAACTAGGTCCATAATACTCAGTTTTCGGTCTATATGGCCTAATTTATATAAACGTGTTTATTTTGGGAGAAATACAGTATTTTCCTCTATTAATGCCCATAGAAGACTATTTTCAAATCTTTATTGAGACTATATCTTCATTATTAATCAATGTAGAACAATTAAAATAAAATGTGATGGTAGCCACTAACGTCTGCTATCACATTTCCAGATTTGACTCATAAGATTAATAATATTTTTTTATTATATCATAAAACTTGAAGCTAGAGAAACACAGTCTCTAAGCTTCAAGTATCATTTTCAATCTTTCTTGGCCAAGTCAGAGGTTGTCCCCTCTGACGTCCGGCAACTCCCTATAAATTCCAAACCGTTCTAGTTGGGGGCAGTTCCCACGGTGGACTCACTCCAACTAGGACCTCTTGGAACGCTGGACACAGGAATATGTTGGTAAGTTCCTTGTAATCTTACCTTCAGTCTGGCGTTCCGATTATTACTTCACGTAATACACTATTCCTGTCAGGGGTATTTTTATTATAACTGGTTCTTCATGTCCATATAGGCTTGATAGGAGTTCAGCTCATTGATACATATTGCCATTTTAATTTGGGCTATTCAGATCTACATGTATAGTCCTAATAAATGTATTAACATTACTGTTTGGTTGTGCTCTTTCTTTTTCATTATATATTATTTTATATTTTATCTTTGTTCACTGGTGCGGTCATTATGGTGTCTCTAGACGACCACACATGGTTGAGCCAATGACCCTTAACTCAGGGGTCATTACCGCTGCCAGCACCGTGACAAGACTAAAATTGGGGGCTCGTCCGGGATCTTAATGGTCTATTGTTCTAGTGCCAGGACTCGGGTAGTTGTTACGGTATCTACAGTTAGGATACTTTGGTACCTGCTTGAGAGGTCAGAGAGAGTGTGATATATTCTTTCTACAATGTCTGAATTGAGCCAACCAACTGTTGCCATGATAAGAAGGACTCACAAGGAGGACCTTTTGAAAATGGCCAGTGCTAATGATGTTAGTGTTGACCAGTCAATGAATGTAAGAGAGATAAGGGATACGTTGATAGAGGCTTTAACAACTTCACCACCTGAAACCGCATCTAGGGGGGATGGAAGTAGTTCTGCTGATCAGTTCAATTTCGGCGATAATCTGTCTTACGAACAGAAACTAGAATTTAAGAAATTGGAAATGCAAGAGAAGGAGAGAGAGTTTGAACGAGAAAAAGTTCGGATGGAGCATGAGTTGAAGCTTAAGCAGCTTGAGTTGAGGAATAGGGTTCATGAACAGGATACTGGAAGCTTTAAGGTGAATGAATGCTATCGTTCAGTCCCTAATTTTGATGAGAATGAAGTTGAAAGATTCTTTCATCAATTTGAGCGGGTAGCTATAGAGCTAAAATGGCCGAAAGAATACTGGCATATTCTGATTCAGAGTAAATTTAAAGGAAAGGCTACCCAGGCTTACAACTCCTTAGACGATACTCAGGCTAGATCGTATCCAGAACTGAAGGCTGCTGTTCTAAGGGCTTATCAATTAACCAGTGAGGCTTACAGACAACAGTTTCGGAAACTAAGAAAATCCGAAAGTGAAACTTACTGCGAGTTTGTTTTCCATAAAGAAAGCTTATTTGATAAGTGGTATCGGGCAGAAGGAATAGATGGAAATCTGGATAAATTAAGAGAGTTGTTTATCTTGGAGGAAATAAAAAACTGTATACCAGCTGGTTTAAGAATTCATGTAGAAGACCAAAAGGTTACTACATTGCAAGAGGCAGCAATAACTGCTGACAATTATGTACTCATACATAAATCAACAGTAGGACAACAGTCTAATGTGTCTAAGTATGACAACAAGCAATCAGGGAAGCCAGGGTCTAATCAGAAGGGTGGCGCTCTAGGCAATGGCAATAAATCTGAGGGTGAGACTATTCAGAATGGGAGACTCAATCCAAAGGGATCTAATAGTGATAAAGCATCAAAACCTAAATGTGCTTATTGTGGGATGAACAATCATTTGATTGTAGATTGCTATAAGAGGAAAAATGACAATCAAAAAGTGGTGGGTTTTGTTAGCAGTACAGCTCAACCATCACTCGGTACTACCTTGCATTCACAGCAGCCTGAGCAGAAGTATGAAAAGTACATATCTGATGGTATTGTTAGTGAAGTAGGTCAGGAGAGTTCTCAAAGACAAGTAACTATGTACAGGGACACGGGAGCTTGGCAAACTCTCATTGTTCCGAGTGCGGTTATTAATCCTGAAAAGTCTGCTACTGGGACAAGTGTTGTAGTTGAGATGGTAGGTAAAGTCTATCGGTCAGTTCCATTGCACAGATTTCACATCAAATCCGAATTTGTATCAGGAGAAGTGCTGATGGGAGTTGTGGATGAGTTACCTATTAAGGGTGTGGATATCTTGTTAGGAAATGATCTAACAGATAGCTGTTGCCACAAAGGCTGTGTAGAGGTCCTAGAGGTATCTAGTTCTCCAGTGACAGTGAACAGTAAGGAGAATGCCGACATT